GAAGGGCTCGTCCACGCCACCCCAGAAGACGACCATGAGGCAGGTCTTCTCCATCGCCAACCGATGAGCCACTCCAAAGAAGTCCCTGGCGTACTCCTCAATACTCTGGTCTCACTGACAGATGTTGAAGAGTTTCCCTGCTGGATCCATGTCTGCTGGCTGAATTCTGTCACGGTGCGATAAGGGAGCACCGTGGAAAAACAGGGTCTGGGTCCAAATGCAGGTGAAACTAGATTTAATAAACAGAAAGGCAGACAAAAAGAAACAAAAAACAGATCAGAACGGATCAACAAAACAGGATCAGGTAAGGGATACAAATTCGGCAACCAACGTGCTTGCATCAACCTACATACAAAATAACTACAATTACAATTAATAAGCCAAACAGAGAAGCAGGAGAGGCAGACAAAAAGAAACAAAAACAGATCAGAACGGATCTACAAAACAGGATCAGGAATGGGATACAATTTCGTACAACGTGCTTGCATCAACCAACTACGACAAATACAATTACAATACAATTAATTCAGCCAGGCAGAGTGGTGAGTGAGAGGAGAATATATAGTCTGTGACAATGGGGAACAGCTGAGGGTGTAATGAGTGACAGGTGAGTGGAGTCTGGGGAATGGAGTCCGGGAGGAAGGGAGATGGCGACCTCTGGTGGTGAGATGTAGAAACACAGGGCCCGGACCCCTGACACTTACTGAACAGTTCATCTTTGAAAATGTGCAGTAAGGTAGGTGTTTTACTGCATGCCTAAAATGTTCATTTCAGCTGGAAAGTGCATTGAACGGTATGCATAAGAGTTTTGCAAAAATGTAGGTAGAGGCACATTTTTCAAGAATCTGTGTAGTTTATATAGCATATTTGTCCGAATTAATTTGCTATTGATTTTTCTATAATTCCATTCATTCCAATGTATGTCTATTATCTTAGCATTGAACTTCTGTACTAACTTTAATTATACTGTCAAATTTAAAAATGATCAAGTCTGGTCTGTAGCAAATATTTTCCTAGTATTTTGCTTTACAAAATATTTTGGTAGTGCTATGAGGTATAGCTTATATGTTTAGTTAATTTACTAGTTTGTAGCATCAGCTAAAATTTACATGAAATCCAATTACCTAATCCAAAACCATGTACATATATGATTTGAAATCCAATTAAAATCAGCTTTTGAAAATGATTTTCATAATTTGGTGTGCAACACCATATGCATTTCACTCAATTTATATCCAACCCAGGTTCATTTGAAAAACATGATTGTAGCGACATTTCTTTTTTTTTTCTTATATGTTTTGCAACATTTTTAATGTGAAATGTAGGTGCTAAAAGCATAATCAGTTTTA